ACTTATTGAGGTGGCTCAGAAGCTGCTGGCTCTGAATCCAGATGCTGTTGAGCTCTTCAAAAAGGCCAATGGTAAGCTATGGATGTATGAATAGAACCCTGAATGGATTAAATCTATTTTTAAAAGCCTTGGCGAAACAATTAATTACCATGCTTTTCAGACATCTGCTATGGTAATGCTATGTTTATTTGAAGTACCATAGAGTTACATTGCTGTACCATAGTACTGCCACAGTACTTTTGTTTTGCGAAAGGGTCGTTTTTAACCTAATTTTTTTTCAACTCTGATGAACGCTCAGAACCGTTCTCATGGGACATGTCTGACTAGTCAGTGTGCAGGTGTAAATATCATATCATTTTGCTCTCTTAGAAAATGTTGGTGAGTGATTATTCTTTGTATCTCTCCTCTCTGGCAGCCATGCTGGATGAGGATGAGGAGGACCGTGTGGATGAAACGGCCCTGCAGCAGCTGACTGAGATGGGTTTTCCTGAGAGTCGTGCTGTGAAGGCTCTGCGCTTAAACCAGTGAGCACTCTTATTCTTGGGTGATAAATATGCCTGTGAATAGTGCATTTCCTGTATTTCAGAATAAAGTCTAAGAAAGCACTCTCATATGAGTGAAGCATAAAGAAAAATAACTTGCTGTAAATTTTAAGTACAATTTCAATGATTATATGATGTAATGTTTCTGAATAAGAATGATCAAATGAGCAAACATAACATTGTCAGTGTGTGCCAACTCTCAGTGGATTAAATAACTAATCACTCTTCCTGCAGCATGTCTGTGACCCAGGCTATGGAATGGCTGATTGAGCATGTGGATGACCCCATGGTTGACACTCCTCTGCCTGGACAGGACACCCCAGGGGCAGCGGCCTCTGCAGCTGCAGCCCCTGCCCCAGCTCCCTCTGCCAGAGCTTCAGGAGCCCGGGCACGTCTGTCCTCCCAGGCCAGCCTAGAGGAGGCCAGACAAGATGAACTGACAGAGATCTTCAAACGGATCAGGAGGAAAAGAGAGTTCAGGCCTGACTCACAGGTTAGTGTCATGTGGGTGTCATGAGAAACAGGAGAAGAATAGCTCACTTTTAAACTCAAACGTGATGAAATATTCTGAACCACTGACATACTATGATAATAGCCTCAGTTGTTTAACCAATGCAAGATTAAAATGTTAGATGGAATAAATGCTTTTCTTTCTTTCTTTTTCTTTTTTAACCCAAACTACATTGCACATTACAATTAGTTTGGTTAATATACCATAGAAATGACCATCAGCATGATGCAATAAAACATTATTTTTCAACATCTGAGAGTAGCTGTCATTGTTAAAAATTAGAATTTTTAGCTTGTATTCATGCTTGTCATGATACTGAACCATGGTTTTAATTCATGCGATGCAAACACATTTTCAAGTTTTATTTTAATCAGGTTTCACATATGAAACTTTTTTGTTTGTTTTCTTTTATGTGCTTTTTAGCATTATTAATATATTTTTTACATTTATTGTTTCAGTATTTTTATTTTAGCTTTAGTAATTTTAATACTAAATACAACTTCAACTTTATTTCAGTTAGTCACCAAAGCAGCGCTTCTAATTTTTAATTAGTTAATTTCTCATTTTCTCATGTTCAATTTACACATTTTTTAAAAACATTTTAGCTAACAATAGAAACACTTATAGCAAAAAGTTAAAAACCATTAAAACACTTTAGCAACCACATAGCAATGTCCTGGCCACCACCCACAACACACTAACATCATGGAAGTTTTCCACAGTCAAATGCCACTATAGAATTCACTTTTGGTTGGTTGCAAATCCTGCAGTAATTCACATTAAATAGCTACTTCTGTCTTGCTGTGGAATCTTTTTAAATGAGAAGCATCATCTTGTCTGTGTGTTTGTGTGCAGGTAGTCATTGCGCTGATGGAGATGGGCTTCGATGAGAAGGAGGTGATTGATGCCCTTCGCGTCAATAATAATCAGCAGGATGCAGCTGTATGTAAACATTCAGAGGATCATCAAATCATGAGTTATTTCAGCAGTCAGCTAAGACTAAATGAGCTCAGTCATATTCAGTGAAATGTGTGGTTAAGTCTTTGTTTTGTTTAGTTAAACAACATTTATCAAGGTCACATTTTTATTCCATATCCTTGTTTTGTAACTTCTGTTCCCACACAGTGTGAATGGCTGCTTGGTGACAGAAAGCCCACCCCTGAGGATCTGGACAAGGGCATTGATACCAACAGTCCCCTGTTTCAGGCCATCCTGGAGAACCCCGTTGTACAGCTTGGTCTCACAAACCCCAAGACTCTTCTAGGTGAGTTTTTTTCCCCCCCTGTATACTCAAAGGTTCTTTAATGCATTTGCTCCAGCTTTGTCAAATCAATTGTATTTTTCAACTTTTCTGTAGAAGACCGACCAAAACATGTTATTTCAAGGTTTTCAAGTGTTTATTTGATACTATCCATTTGGCCTAATATAGCGAGTTTTCCAGTTCCTCCAGCTAAACAGTAACCCAGACCAATGATGCTGCCACCACCGTGCTTGATGACAGGATGAGGTTATCTGGGTGTTGGGCTATGTGTGGTTTGTGGTAAACAGCACTATGCTCTTAGGCCAGAGTGCTCAATTTTCATTTCATCAGACCACAGCAGTTACTTCCAAAGCCTTTCAGGTTTTGCCACATGGCTTTTCACAATATCCAGAATTATCTTGGACTTGCTCGGAAGTGGCTTCCTTTGTAGTCACGTTTGCAAAAAGGGCTTAATCTTGGAAGTGCTGAAAATATTGCTGAGGTCTGGACAGTTTGTCCCATTTGAACCAAAGCACTCTGCGAGTGACCACTTTGGTCCCTTATTCAAATTTGATCTGGTTGCCCGTTTGCTAAGCTGACTTGAACTTAAAAGTGTCTACACTGTGTAATATTTTGCCAATTGATAATTTTGTATTTTAATATATTTTCATAATTTTTAACCTCCATTGTCACACACAACTGGTGGGATGTTTTAAATGTTTATTTTATTTCTTTACACTAGTGGCCAAAAGTTTTATTGTTTTTGAAAGAAGTTTGTTTTGCTCATTTAAGCTGCGTTTGATAAGAAGAGTCAAATCAGTAATGTTGTGAAATATTATTACAATTGAAAATAACCATTTTCTATTTTAATATATTTTATTTAGGTGACGTTTTTTCAGGATTCTTTGATGAATAGGAAGTTCAAAAGAACAACATTAGAATTTTTTGTAAAATGTAAACTTGGTGAGCATAAGATACATCTTTCAAAACAATTAAAAATTTTAATTATTCCAAGCATGTAATTGTCAGTATGTGTTCCCTGGAAATCAAACTAATGATGACCTTGGCATTGATAACACTTTGTGCCACAAGATGATCTACAGGACTATTTGTTAACATATTTAATGTGATTTTTAAAAAAGTTATTAATACGTTTGTTTGGAGTCCAAGGCCACTGTTGAATCATTCAGTGAAACAGACTAAACTGTATTTTCAAGTAGACGTAGTCCAGTCCGTGTCAGTTGTTGGTTGGATGAGCCATATTTTTCTTGGCTTTGCAGCATTTGAGGACATGCTGGAGAATCCGCTGAACAGCACGCAGTGGATGAACGATCCTGAGACAGGTCCTGTCATGCTCCAGATCTCCAGAATCTTCCAGACACTCAATCGCACGTAAAACACACCTCATCTGTGGAGCGGCTAGAACCACAGCATAGGGAAAAAGGTCAATCATTTAGAAGAGAAGTGTGTGTGTGTATAGTTTGTTTGTGTGTGTGTATGTGACATAACTATTGTTTTAAGTGGAGAAGTCACAGAAGATGAATGTAAAAACACAATGATGACATTTTCACATCATATTAAACAGAGGAAAATATCTATTTATAACTACACAACACTTGTACAAATGCAATGTAAGCAGTAACTTGATAAATAGCTAACTCCATTATTTAGTTTTTTATGTTTTAATAAGATCCGTTTTTAATTATATTAAGCACATTACTTTATTTTATATAATTTCTCTATATAATTGTACAATTGGACATCAAAAAAAAAAAAAAAGACAAGAAAAAAAAGAAAAAAAATCACCAGAAGCAATTTTCTATGTTTTTTGTGCTCAAAGATCAAATTTCAACCAAATTATGTAACACATGGTACACTTGTCATAACTGAATGTTTCTACAGGGAGATAAACAATGTGTCTTAAGTTGTTTTTATTATCGGCTCAAAAATGAAATCGTTTATTTATTCGATTATAAGTTCCTTCCAAAAACATCAAATGAAGGTACGTTTTGAGGGAAAGCAAAGCAAGCACCAGCAGTTTTTTGGCAACTCCTCATTTGAAGATTATTCAAGCTTTGTGGTTTCATTAACACTACAGACATTTCTGTGATGTTGTGGTGACGCAATAGCAATTTGCAGACCCTTACGGACACCGATACATGATAGATAATCAAATCCAACCTGAACTCTTTGTTCCTCGTATCTCTTTCACTCTTCTGATCTATAAAAAGACTATTCAGGTGGGTTCATCTGTCTAAATGGACACAAGTCAGTTTAGAACAGAGCTGGTATAAATGAGTACTGGATCATTATCTTCGTTTTCTCCCAGTAGCTCCTGCATCAGGGGTTTCCAAGTATTACAGTACTTTAATCCACCATCATGATCAAGCTGCTGCCTCTGATCTCACTCGCATCCCTGCACGTTCAATGTGAGTCTTACTTTACATCATTAGGAGGCTGGACAGAATTTAGTTTGTACTAACTCAAATAAAATGACTCTTATTTTATGGATTGGTTCTACTACACGGTATGTTTGCTTTTAAAGTTGCTTGTGTTCAATGACACAAGTATGAATAACGTGCTCTCAGTGTCATCACAGTTCTCTTATGTCACTTTTTACAGTGCACTTTCTAGTTTGCACAGGAAATTCAGACTGCATTCATAGTACACAACATTATTTTAAATGATATATAGAAGATGAAATATGCTTTTTTTCTCTCTTTTGGCCAAGCGTGGAGTGTTTCCATTCAATATTTGAATCGTGTTGGTGTGAAGTGTGTGCTCAGGGGTTTCTTAGCCATACCGGGCAAATATCTGCTATATAGTAATGCCTACTTTATCAATACAAATAACGGTAGTTTAGTGATTGCATTATCAGAGAAATCTATGAATATATCTGAAAACTTAACTCTTTAAATGAAGACTTACTATCCTTGTGTGATATTTATTTTGAGGCCAAATATAACCAATCATGAAACCATCTCTAGAGAGATTGTCATTATAATACAGTTTTAGAAGACCTCATCAATTGCAATGTTCACTTCATTGTCTGAGTGGCTTCAAATCTAGGTAAAGATTGTGTTGAACACGTATAGCATTTGAAATCAGATCATCTCCATTGTCTTGAGAACAAGTTTGGGTCTTAAGAAATGTAGCTTATATTGTTTTGGAGGACTAGAGAGTACAGGCGTCTATGCAAATTTTTTTTTTTGTTGCCTCGACAGAAAAACAACAGGTTTCAGTATCATGATGCATTTTTGGTATTTGAGTAATTGATGTGCACTTTCATATCATATCTTATTTTTGATTTGAATCAAATTTTGGTTTCATCATGGCTAAGCTCTGAAGTAGAAAGTGCTATATGATTTCAGTATTTTAAAATGTTTGATGTTTATTCATTTACTGTTTAGAAATGCTTATATGGTTAAACCGTGTCATTTTGGAATCTGGATTTTCAGTGTCCTAATGCCAGTGTGCTGAATACCTTAAAATTAGCATTGATCAGTTGATCATTGTTACAGATTTTGTTTCATTTTTTTTTCTCCCTCATTTTAAAAAGGCTACCAGGTCTTGTCATTATAATACAGTTTTAGAAGACCTCATCAATTGCAATGTTCACTTCACTGTCTGAGTGGCTTCAAATCTAGGTAAAGATTGTGTTGAACACGTATAGCATTTGAAATCAGATCATCTCCATTGTCTTGAGAACAAGTTTGGGTCTTAAGAAATGTAGCTTATATTGTTTTGGAGGACTAGAGAGTACAGGCGTCTATGCAAATTTGAATCAAATTTTGGTTTCATCATGGCTAAGCTCTGAAGTAGAAAGTGCTATATGATTTCAGTATTTTAAAATGTTTGATGTTTATTCATTTACTGTTTAGAAATTGCTTATATGGTTAAACCGTGTCATTTTGGAATCTGGATTTTCAGTGTCCTAATGCCAGTGTGCTGAATACCTTAAAATTAGCATTGATCAGTTGATCATTGTTACAGATTTTGTTTCATTTTTTTTTCTCCCTCATTTTAAAAAGGCTACCAGGTCACAAGTTATGATGAAATATCTCGAAGATTTGGTGCTCTTGTGCTCTCATTTTAATTTTGTGTCCTTGCTCTGTGTGCAAGTTCAGTTTCACATAAGGCCCCTACAGTTTGAGAGTTGAAATGTAACTTTCTCAATCCACTTGTTGAAAAGCCTTTCATGACAAATAATAAAAAAAGTTTTGAAATCCCTGTTTTCTCGTATTATTGTTATTATTATTCTCAATACTTGTTGACAATTTAGCATAGTTCAGAAGTCTGAATACAGGCAAATGTCTTTCCTAAATGTATCAAAGCCTAAAACCCTTCACCGCTCCCATTTACCCTGTAATCTAAATGTGTGTTTTAGGGAAACATTTAATTTAGTTAGGCTTAATGATAGTACTTTTAGTGTTATTTCAGTATCATTTAAATATAGTGTTTATTGATATTTTGAATAAAATTTTATTTTTATGTTTTCATTTTAATTGTAATGCCTTACTGTTTTTCTATATATTACTGTTTTTTTCAATTCATTTATTTTTATTTCAGTTTTAGTAATTTAATTACTATGTTTTCATCAACTAATCTGTTACAGTTACTGGAAAAAATGTGTAATTAAATTAGTTACTTATAAAAATGTTAACAATTACAAAGGGATAACATCTAACACACACACACACACACACACACATATATATTTTTATATATATATATATATACAGTGGGGCAAAAAAGTATTTAGTACCAGCTCCGTGATGTCGTCATGGAGGAGTGGAAGAGGACTCCAGTGGCAACCTGTGAAGCTCTGGTGAACTCCATGTCCAAGAGGGTTAAGGCAGTGCTGGAAAATAATGGTGGCCACACAAAATATTGACACTTTGGGCCCAATTTGGACATTTTCACTTAGGGGTGTACTCACTTTTGTGGCCAGCGGTTTAAACATTAATGGTTGTGTGTCGAGTTATTTTGAGGGGACAGCAAATTTACACTGTTATACAAGCTGTACACTCACTACTTTACATTGTAGCAAAGTGTCATTTCTTCAGTGTTGTCACATGAAAAGACATAATAAAATATTAACAAAAATGTGAGGGGTGTACTCACTTCTGTGAGATACTGTGTGTATATATACAGTATGTAAATGTAACTAATCTGTTACAGTTACTGGAAAAAATGTGTAATTAAATTAGTTACTTATAAAAATGTTAACAATTACAAAGGGATAACATCTAACACACACACACACATATATATATTTTTATATATATATATATACAGGTGCATCATAAAACATTTGAATATCATGAAAAAGTTCTTTTTTGTTAAACTTATTTCAAAAAGTGAAATGTTCATATATTCTCGATTCATTACATGTAAAGTAATGACAAAATTTTGTTTTAATTTTGATGATTAGAGCTTACAACTCAGGAAAGTCAAAAATCCAGTTACTCAAAAATATTAGAATATTTACTAAGATAAATCACAAAAAAAAGGATTTGCAATACAGAAAAGTTCAAGTTCTTTAAAGTGTGTTAATTTATTCACTCAATACTTGGTCGGGGCTCCTTTAGCATGACAGCATCAGTGAGGTGTGGCATGGAAGCGATCAGCCTGTGGCACTGCTGAGGCACTATTGAGCCTTCAGCTCGTCTGTATTGTTGGATCGACTGTTTCTCATCTTTCTCTTGAAAATATCCCATAGATTCTATATGGGGTTCAGGTCAGGCATGTTGGCTGGCCAATCAAGCACAGTAATATCATGGACAGCAAACCACTTGGAAGTGATTTTGGCACTGTGGGCAGGCGCTAAAGTCCTGCTGGAAAAGGAAATCAGCATCTGCATAAAACTTGTCAGCAGATGGAAGCATAAAGTGCTCCAAAGTCTCCTGGTAGATGGCTGCATTGACTTTGGACTTGATAAAACACAATGGACCAACACCAGCAGATGTCACGGCACCCCAAATCACAGCACTATGTGAACAGCCACCCCTTTCAGTAATGACCTTCTATTACTTACCCTCTTTGTGGAGGGTGTCAATGATTGTCTTCTGGACCATTGCCAAGTCAGCAGTCTTCCCCATTATTGTGGTTTCAAAGAACAAGAGATACCCGGAACTTATACTGTAGGGATGGTCATTTAATGAAACTCAAATGTAAATATTCTAATATTTTGAGATACTGGATTTTTGACTTTCATGAGCTGTCTAATCATCAAAATTAAAACAACAACAAAAAACTTTTGAAATGTTTTACTTTGCATGTAATGAATGTAGACTATATGAAAGTTTCACATTTTGAAATGTTACAACAAAAAAAAAACTTTTTCACGATATTCAAAATTTTTGAGATGCACCTGTATGTATATATATATATATATATATATATATATATATATATACATACACACACTATGGGACACCCCCTTCTAATGAACAAGTTTGACTACTTTAGTAATTTTATGAGTACAAATCTTAATGTTAAAGCATATAATGATATTCTAGGGAATATTTATGTATAGTGATAATGTAGTTTACAAAAGTCAATAAGCTATTTGTTGAACACTGGTGTTTATCAATTTTATAACAGCAGAAAGCCACTTTTTTTTGTACCTCACAGATGAATTTGTGCTCTGCATTTAACCCAGCCAAGTTCAGACGCACAGCGTGAACAGTCACCATTAATTTAAATCAGTATTATTATGTTAATTTGTGATTGCCGTTTGTTACAGTTACAGTTTTTCCTCCAGACCTCCACCATGGATGGACCTCTGTAAATGGAGGACTGCGCATATCTAACGCCACTTTCACCCTCTGCATCACCGTACTGCCTGCGCACGTGTAGCGCATCTCTCACCCTCTGCAGTACAGCAGAGTGCGCGAGACACTGGATACGTCACTTACGCGCCAACATGATCCGCTGCACTAGTCTCTTTTAGAGACTATTTTTAAAAATCAGTTTTGCCCTGTTTTAAAAAAAAAGTTAATGTTGCAGGCATCACGTTAATAATCAGTTAATGCTGTAAAATGCATACACGTGTCAAAAATGTCAACGCATCCAAATCTTCCAAGAAGTCCAGCACTCAGACAACTATCAGCAGATTCTTTACAAGTGCAAGCGATACATCTCAAGCAACCGACCAGCCCGGGATTACACGCCAGGACGGACGCCATGAGGGCAGAGGAAAGGTAAGGGCTTTATATGCGGGACAGGCACAGCTTGTTTACTCTGTAAAAACTGCACTCCTTTCATACAATAGAGTCATATCAACAGTTCAAGACAAATATTCATCGCATGCACGAAGCTTTTGCTGTTTTTAAGCAACACCGACTGAAATCTAAACCTGTGCTATTTTAGAAGAGGTTATCTGATGGAGGAATGTCCTCAGAGAAACGGCCCAAACTCTCTCTCAGTGTGGAGGAGGAGTGCATGGTGACCCCCAGCACCTGTAAGGACACATGCATGTCATTTATTTGTTTTTGTTGTTTTCAGCTTTTTATTTTAAAATAGGCACAATGAATGAGGCTGGGCTGGCACAAATATGTTCTTAAACCTGTTCAGTCTACAGATAGTAAATAACAAGAATGGAGTATATGAGAGAAATGTCTCTTCTGGCATTCACACTAAGTGGGGCTCAACAATTATGTTTTTTTGTGCTTTTCAGAATTGTAAATAACACTTTCACTGACCCACCATACTTTTTATATATAGCAATATTTCTGTGTCAGCAGTAGGGGTTAACTGATATGTGTTTTTCAGGGCCGATACCGATTACAGATGACCGATATCTTGAACCTGTATATATATATATATATATATATATATATATATATATATATATGCCTG